GCGAAAGGATACCGAAAACCTTGGCCTCCGCTCCGTCTACGGCGTTCGCCAATGGAAGTCAAACTGGATCACAATATGCGCTGATCTTGCCGCAGACCGCCGAGCGTGGGCAGCGGCAATTCGAGATATTCATAAAGCCGGCTTATCCTCTCCCGGGAGCCAGCCGCCGTAAAGTAAAGTAAAGTAAGAATGACATAAGCTGCCCAACAGTTGTGGCCTTTAAAAGGGCCTTGGATCTGTACTGGGACGTGGTATTTCCGGAACTGGCCACTTGAGAGGCGATAAAAGAACAAAGTGATTTCATTCCTATATCTATGTATTTATGCATATTTATACATACCTGGTGCATCTGATACTGCACCTAAAATTTCTACCTTTCAGAAAAAAAGCAGAACGAACGTCTGACGAGCAGTTTTGAAAGCCAAGGCAACTAGCTGACAACACAACGTTCTGGACGCATGATTAGCCTCGACCACTTCCGTTCTGTGCAAACTGAACTGAACTGTGCTGGGCGTCACACAACTTATATGGCTGGACGTCAGTCAGTTTCAGTTTCACACTACACCATGTCAAAAACTACCCCTGAGAAATCAGAACCTGAAGAATCCCCAATGCGTTTTGGAACCCTGTTGTCCCAACTGTCCTTATTGTCCTCTGTAGTCCAAGGCGGACAGGTACACATCCAACCCTCTCCGAGCATCTCCCCACCAAAAACGTTTGCATTGGGAGATGACTTCCGGCACTGGAAGACGGCCGCACAGGAACATATTGAGCTTCTCCCTACGAATGATCGACGGCATGTACTGCTCTTCCTATTGGATGACGAAGCAAGGGATACCGCACGTGTTATGTACTGAATGAGATGACAGCAGTCGGTAATTGCTCGGGAGAGAGAGAAGATTGAGAGCCCAGAGATGTAAGGCTTTATTCGTCTAGCAACCCTGCATATAGGCTAAAACGTATAAAAGAGAAATATTATGAATACAGTGATATGCAGTAGACAAAGTGTTATACACGACATTCCCTCCCGGTAAAGAAAATGTCAGGCCTCTGCTTCTTAAGTTATACGGGCGAGTTCGTTGCTGTAATTCTAAAACTGAAGGTTGTTGGTTATTCGCGGGTTGGGGAGAGTTTGCAATGAGGTGAAATGATATCATCTGTAGATTGGTTGTGTGGACTGTCAATAGGAGTATCATTTGATATAGGTTCGATGAATGGAGTTTCGGGGACTGATGGTGGACACGATGATGGTACAGGGGCTAGAAGATGAATGGACACCGTTTCTTCCCTACCGTTTGGAAGTCTGACGTGGGCGTACCTTGGATTACACTCGATCAGCTCTACCTCGTCAACCAGTGGCTCGTACTTTGA